TCGTAAACAAGCTGAAAATTTTTCATACAGGTATTTTTTTCTTTTTAAAAATTTTAATTATAATTATAATTGAAAAAAAAAAAATCAATGAATAATAATTAATGTCACTCAGATTGGAACTTAATGGTAATCGACGACGATTGACATGGGAAGCGATGCCGAGATCGATTCACGAAGGTGTCTGTTGTGCGATTCTCGCTTCCGACTGCCTCGTTTTCGATACATCAATAGCACGACGTTTTGCTGACAACGGAAATTTAGCAATCAACGTTACGATATCTATGGTATAGAACGAAAATAATTAAAAAAAAAAAAAAAAAAAAAAAAACAAAACAAATAACTTTTACTCTCTCAGTAATAACAATAATAAGCGTTTAAACTTTAGTGAAATCTCTGAATGGAAATTATTATCCATATAATTATATTTCATACTTTTTACTAATAAAAATTTTAACATACTGGCAAAAAAAAAAAATAATTTTTAAAGTCTAAAAATTTTGAATCGCAAAAAAATTAAATAATTAATCTAAATTTTTTTTTTTTTGAACCAACTAATGGATTTTAATTACTCAAATCGAGCTACTAGTTCTGCTGATAAATAAATTAAAATTATTAATTATATTATTTACTATTATTATTGCTGTGAGTGTTACTGATAAAAGTCTAGACTGAATTGTACATTGTGGTTACAATAATACCAATAGTAATAGTCTATTATAACAATTACGATTATTATTTTTTTTAATACTATACTTTATTATTTTAATATTTTTGTCATTAATTTGAGTAATTTATAAACTATTCAATATATTTAATTTAACGCATATTTTAAATTATGACACTTGAACAAGAACAAATATTTTGAATTTCAATGGATTGAAAATTAAATTATTAAAAATAAAACAAAACGCTTGTTTTAATAATTACCTAATTTAAGTTTAAAATTATTTAATTTAATTGTAGATTTAATTGTAACTGAATTGAACCAGCAGCTTATCGTACGAATAAATAAATAAATCACAGGTTAAATGATAATTAATAATTGTAATAATACATAAAATTTATATTTTTATTTTGATTGTGTAGATTTAGGTACGATGTGATAAATATTAATTGTTAGCTAATTACAACGTCAACACTAAATAATTAGATAACGTAATCTGCTGTAATGTCTGATAGTTTTTTTAGCTTATTATTATTATTATACAATTAATTCAATAATTATTATTATTAATTAAATGATGAATATTATTTGTTTCAATATTTTGTTAATTATTCACCAGTTACAGTTAATTATAAATGAATAGTTATTAATGTATGTTCATAGTATTTTGTAATTGTCTTGAAAATAATTTTGAATCCATATGAGTTGGTTATCAATTACTATTATTATTAATTAATTTATATACATACAAAAATAAAATGAAATAAAAGGTTGTAAAGACAATTATAAGCATCGATTGTTTTTTTTTTTTTTTTTTCCGTTCATTTAAAGTTATTAATTTTTATTTGTGTAAATATTTTTTTTTTTTTTTTTAATTAGTAATTATAAATACAATAATAAAGCTGTCAATTAATAAATAATTTTAGCTGATAAATTTATTTAATATTTTATGTAGTAATGTGAGCAAAAGCTTGGATATTAATGACTCTAAAATTACCAGATACTTGAAAATTTTTTAATTTTTTTTTTTTTTAGAAATTAACTAAGTCCAGAAAATTACTTTAAAAAATTTTGTTTATAATTTTTTTAATAATGTTTTAATAACACTAAAATTAGTCGACATTTTTAATTTTTTTTCAATTAAATTAGAACAAAAAAATATTTTCTTAAAATTGCACTTACAATTTTTGAAGTTTTTTTACAAATGAAATTTATTTTTTATTCTTTTGTAATAATTTTTTCAATGAAAAAAAAATTCTTAAAATGTTCATATAAATTTAGCCGACATTTGACATTAATTAATATAAAAATACAGATTGCTTAGTCAAAATTATAATAATACTAAAATAAACAGACATCTGACAATTTCAGAATTTTTTTAACCAACAAATTTTCACAAAAAAAAATCCACATGTCAAAATAAAAAAAAATTTTTTTAAATATTTCTTCTGCACTAATTTATTTTTAAATAACTAAAAATTTGACAGATGTCAGCTGTTTTAATAATAATTTTAATTGCAAAATAAATTCATCACAATAGAAATATATAATAGAATTGAAAGAGTTGATAAAAATGACTATTAAAACTTTTACGCTGACAACAATTGGTCCATTCTCATGTCGACGACAATGATAACCAATGAAAGCGTTTGAAAAGAAACGGCGGTAAGAATCTGACCAATTGCAGGAGTAATGGTAACCCATTTTCAATAATACTGAAGTTAGCCGTCAGTTGTCAATTTAAAAAATTTTTCTAAAAAAAAATGCTTCTAAAAATCTTCACTCGTAATTTTAATAAATTTTCACATGTGAAATTTTTTAATAAAATTTTATTTATTTAATTTCCACAAAATGTCTAATCCTGTCTACTTCAGTGTCATCATTTATGACATTAAAGTTAGCAGTCACTTGAATATTTTTTAATTTTTTTAACCAACAAATTTCTTCCAAAAGAATAATAAAAAAAAAAAATTGCATTTTTAATTTTTTAAAATTTCTTTATGTCAATTTTTTTTTATAATGTTTCTTACAATAATTTATTTATTAAAAAAATGATTAAATATCTGCTAAATTAATTTTCATTCATCATTTTCAATATTATTTGAGCATGACCTATAGGTATTTGTAGAAACTAAACGGTGGTTATGAAAAGTAAAGGGGCAGCAGCAGCAGTAGCGGGCATAGCACATCGAGTAGAGCAGCAAATCAAGATGGCATCCAAAGAGAGTACGAGTACCGTGTCAAAGGAGCAGCACGATGTCAATAGTGACTCTAAACAATACGTCAATCAGTTTATTTGCAAGAAAGTGATATTTAACAAGACAGAGCTACGCGACAATTTAATAAGTGACACAACTGACAAGTGTGTTAGTGATGATTTAAATGTTAATAATAACAGTGTAATAACATCGCTGTCGAGCGGGACGCCCACGGAATTAACATTGGCGTCATCAACAACTACTAGACTATTTTCTTCCCAGCGCAATGACAGTGGATTTGTAAATTCACCTCCGCGTAATTCCCAGTATAATTATACTGATAATGCTGAAGGGCCTGATGATCAAGATCTGCCTGGTGGGACTGTCAACATTGCCGTAATGCCTCAGTCGCGGTTTGATACATCATCTCCCAACATTATGTCCGGTAATAGGAATGTTAAGGACGCAAATATATCTACGTCCCTTTCGCGTGCTAATACTACCGATTCTGATGGTAACTCTTTGTTTTTTTAATCCTACTTTGCTTTGCTTTACCACTAAACCCCTTTTCTACTCTATTAAGA